GGCCTTTTTTCTCCCCAGGTGCGAGGGAGGATAAGAACTTGCTGAGTTGGTTTTGAGAATTTAAAAATGTGAAGAAAGGGAAATTAGACCCAGGCTGTGGTTTAAATTGAAGTGGAGATCAAAGACCAGCACTTTCAAGAATAAAGGATGTGTATACATCTTGGGAGCAGCTCTCCAAGTTTGATGTCAGTCTGCTAGTGTAATTCTACCATACGTAGCCCAGATTCCTGTCTGCAGTTACATTTATTTTAGAAAAGGTCTCTGTTGGTATTAAAAAAAAATCAAAGCAAAACTTTCTCATTCTAGAACAGTTATTAGTAAAATCAGGATGAGAATTTTGCTTCTGAAAAACAAAGGTCTACTAGCTGCCACACTAACACTAAGCTACTTCATCCCTTGTTTCTCTCTGAACTCTCAAGGGAACCCATTTTTCTACTTACTACCACAAAGCAGCATGTGAAAGGAAAGGGATTGTAGAATGCGAGTATGTTTGAGAGGTACTAGGTGACCTCTGATTGCAACAACAAGCGAGAATGAAGTGCCAATGGACGCCACTAATCATGCTGAGGTTAATTCACTGTCTCATGGCTTCTACCAGAAGTAGGAGATGGTCTGCCACATGCAACTTCAGGCGTATGGGGAAGAACAGTTCTTGTTGCCGTCTATCTTATTTGTATGTGGGACAGTTACCTGTGATTGAGGTATCCATTTTCACTTAGCATCCCTTTCCTCTAAGATTGTGCTAAATTTGAAACCAGAGCAATCTTTTGCAGTTATTGTTGAGATCCAGAAAGGATTCTGGGGGATTACTGAAAGGAAATAGGTCTCCAACATTACTTTTCTTTTTTATACGCTGTCTGAAGGAGATAGATTGTTATAGCAAGGCATACAGGAAGCACTGAAAACCATGGTGTAATCTGGACAACACTATACTAACAGCCTTTTTTATAAGTTTTGTAGAACCCAGGCAATGGTGAGTATTACTTTGTCCTGGACAGTCCACTTGTAGCAAAAAAGTTTCCTCCTGGAATGCTTTCTCTTGTGTGTGGGTTCATGCCAAACTCCCCTGAAGACAGGGACAGACCTGTATATTCTAGAAGTTTATAACCTCTTTAAAGTCTTTCAAATACTTTGGCATTTGCATTGCAGAAACAAGCTGAGAAATATCACCATAAAAATAGGTCTGTCTTTTGGCACTATACATGCTTTAGGTAAGACATTTCTAAAGCTTAAAATAATGAGCATTTAAAAGAAAAAAAGTCTCCTAAAGAATCAAACTGCAAAACTGAACAGGTTGATCGTTATTTTTTTTTATTAATCTTTACTCCTTTTAAGGCCAAATCCTAACCACATTTTTGTTTATATACAATGGTGGTTGTTTTGTTTTTTTTTTCATTTCAATTCCTAAGATCTTGGGTGATAATTATTCAGTGAATATAACTTCTACCTGGGAAATCTGAACAAAGCAGAATCAATTTGAGTTAGGTGCTTACTGTATGGAGGACCCAAAGGATAAGCATCTCCAAGGAAACAATTTACTAATTAATTTGCCCTCCCTTGCTTGAAAGTAAAAATCTCTGGCCTTTGTATTGCTTATGGCTGCAGCTGAACTGGCAAGAGTTCAATTGGAAGTATGTGTTGAAACATTAAGCGCTTCCTACCACACTGGCAGAACGAATGTTCAATCTTTTGGTGAAAATGTTTTTGCCTGAGTCTAGTCTGTCATCCTTCATGTCACAGCATCAATTCTGTTAAGATGTCCTTGTGATACATGTCTGCTATGCACTTGTTTTATAAGTTATGAACTGAACTCTCCAGAAAGAGCTGACTTGATCTATCAGCTGAAAAAGCCTGAAAATAAAACAGAGGGACAAAATCTACAAAAAGATTTAAGACTTTAACTCCTTTCCAGGCAGCGATGCTCACTGTGAAATAAATAGATGGAATAGGAACCTAAATACCTATGTGGATCTTGGCCTGTGTTTTGTTGATCCGTGTCCAGTGCCTTGTCTTCATGGCTTTTATTTCTCCAATTACCTTTATGTTTTCTCGAGTCATGACTTACAGCTATTTCAAGGTTCACCTTGTGATACAAGAACAAATGAAGATAATAATTTCTGGGCTCTGGTTACTGCAATCCCATGTTGCTAAATGTCATGTTTAACACACCTTGCAGTTTATACTGGGAGGTCCGTCAGTACTCTGGCTTTGAAGGTGCCCTTGGCCTGGTCCTTATGTGAACTTGGCTGCCTGTCAGCAGCATGACTGCACAGTTTTGCTAAGCTTGGAAAGTTCCTTTAAAGGCTTGCAAAAGGGAAAGGTCTCATTTCAGCACATTTTTACTGGTGACATAATCTCCTTTTAATATTTTTGCATATAAAGCATCATGTCATTTACCAGGTCAAGAAACTCACTCCCAAAGAATGTATGCCTCTGACTCTAGGAGAGAGGCTTTAAAAATGATAAATACTGTTTCCTTTCAGCAGCTTTCCTGGGTGTCTCATTCTTTAGCTGATACACATTCTTTCCCCGTGAGCAAGAACACGATAAGGCACTAGTGTCTGTCTATAACTGCCAGGGAGAGATATTTGCTTAGTGATGCAGTACTCAGCAGAAGAAAGAAGGAGAAAAAACAGCCCAGTCCATAAATACTTGCCCTGAGTTCTGCTGTCGGTTGCTCCTCTGTGTTGGCATCCTTACTCTTCTTTGGAGGGCACCATGTGTGACTTGGCCTTTGAGAGCAAAATAAAACAACGTGTTCAGGACTGAGCACAGTGAGTCACCAGGAAACCATGTGTGCTTTCATCTCCTCGTAGTTTTTGTGTTTGATTTTTGTTTCTCTGAGAATAACTATTTATACAGTACTTAGAGGCCCTGGTCCAAACTGAAGCTTGCTTTGCTAGGCTGTGTGCAAACACATGATGAGACAGGCTCTGCTCTTAAAAGACAGTGGTCAAAGTGACCCTGACAAGTAAAAGATAGGCCAGAATATGATGTGACTTTCCAAAAATTATGCCACAGATCAATCACTTGCCAGACAGAAGAATCATTTACTTTTCACTTTCTTCCTCCAAACAGTTTAGAATGAAGTAGAAGGTAAAACAAACCTCAACAGGTCAGAATTCAACTTCAATGAATCACTCTGGTCATCACTTGCTACTCCTTGGTTCATTGCCTTGTGTTGGATGAGAGAAAGAGGGAACTTGGATCTGGTTTGTACAGATGTTTATACAGATACCATGGTGGTATGAAGATGGCCACTTTCCAGCTGTGCTGATTTTGTGACTCTACTTTTTTTACGTTCAGTTGAAATGTCCCACATCAACATATAAGGCATCAAGTGAGAGGTAGCTTCCATACAGAACAGCTTTCCTTTTGGCATCCTGTTCAGCTGCGACTGTGTGAGAGCTGACAAGGAATGCATTTTTGCCAGCCTGGTAAACCAGAGTGCCTGTTTTCTAACCTGGCAAGAAATAGATGTGTAATTTTATTCTGTTTCTAAGAAATGGGAAAAGCTGAACATTACAAAAGGAATATTAAAAACAGACAGCACAGATTTACCAAGCTTCCAATGAATGCGGACATTTTTCTGTCCACGAGGTCTGTATCTATATTGTTTTGCTAGTGAGCAACAAAACCAAGCCATGCAGGCTGACTTCTTGAATGTCATTTCATGACGTGTCTGGTGTGATGATATCTCTTACATAAAAGATTTAAACAGTATGATTTGAATAAAACCTATCACATTCTAAAAACATCAGTGTTCTACTGGAATCACTTTAGAATGTATTGCCTGTATCAGTGGCTGATTTCCTTCCCAAAGATTTTGGTAGGATGAGCTAAGTCCCTATAAACTTAGTTGAACTGTACTCTTTTCTGTAAGATGTTTTTATCATGGGCTTTATTTAGGAAAAGCCAATCTCTGCATGCACCTGTAAAAACTCCAATTAGAAAAATGTGAGAAAAGTACTGCCACATTTGTTTAATTTATTAATTATTTTGCAACTTTTTTTTAATGATAGCTATGAAAAACTAAGCAGAGTTATGAATTATACTGCTCTAGAAATTTAAGCATGAGACTGACAAAAAAGAAACTTCCTGAATGCCTGAATCAATTGTGATGGAAAAGTGAGCTATAAAAACCTTGCCTAGTACTTTTACTAATAATACATTTTTGAGATAATGTCTGCATTGTGCCTAGGAGCTGTAGTCATAGACTACCAACACAACATGGGGAATACTGGTAGGCAAGATCAAAACTGGGTGACTTTCCCACAAATTTATGGTCTCTCTGAAAGAAGATGACCGCTGGATACCAGCAGAAGACTGGTTATAGGTATGTTCAGTGATCTACCCTCTGGCAGCCTAACTTTTGACAAGATTTTCCCAGGCATCTTGTCAAAACAGGTATTTCAACAGGGATTTGAACCTGTAAAATGGCTTTGCTTTTCAGACCATATTTGAAAATTCAGTTGTGTTAAGTTACGTGACTGCAAAAGGTCAAAGTCGACTATCACTGTAATTGAAAAAATAGGAGAGTTAATAACTAGCTAGTGAGGAGCCTGAATTTTTTCTTTCATGTGAAAGAATAAGGAAACAGAGCTAAAGTTGCAAGGAAAAAAAGGTGACAGTAAAGAGACAGATTAGAAAAACAATTGTTGTAGTAACTTTCTGAATCGCTAGGAAAAGGGTAACCCCATATTAATAAAAGTATAGTAACAAGATGGATATACAATGTGCCATGGCTGGGTAGTGCATCCATTTGATAGTAGAGCAGTTTTTCACATCCTTTTCCAGGAGAAGTGAGAGAGGCTTAGCACCAAGGAACTGCCCTGTGGGACAAGTGTGCCATGCAACTGGACCTTGAAAAACGGGGGCTTCTTTAGCTGTGAAAAGCACCCCTCTAACTTACTCACTGTAAAATAAACCTGCTGTTGGATTGCTCTGGATAGGAAACATAGGGAAAATAGTAATTTTTACTCTGTTTTCCCTTACTGCAGGGGATGAGTGTCCAGGAAAGCAGGTGATGACATGGGCATGTGGGACTGATGGCAGAGCTCTTCCCGCAGCGTCTGAAGTGGCCAAAGACTACTCCGTCTTGTGGGAATTCTCCAGCAGTGAATCCTTTTGTCTGGCATACGTTCACTTTGTTTAATGCAAGATTGATGAAACAAACCAGACAATTTGGCCTTCAGATGCTATAATTGTGAACAAACTGTCCAGAACAAAGATATTTGGAAGACACAAACCTCACAATCCTCTCTGACTTTTGATTTTCCTTTCCCCATGTTGAATTCATTAATTTAGGTATTTCGAACCATGATTTAAGGAAGGCCTTAACTCTGTGGATACTGACTTCTACCAGTTCTTACAATCGCTCCATGGGTGGGATTTTAGAAAATACTCTGAGGTTGGTCTGCAGGAGAATCCCATTTTCCTTGTCTAATTTAATAGGTACAGGATGGAATTTTCTTTTCCACACTCTCTTACATTAATGAAACAGTCCAGGCTGTAACAAATAACTGATGTCACCACAGTTTAGAAAGTACATATTTAAATGAAACTATAATACAGCCTTCTTACAGATTGTGAAACTGGACAGCCTGCAACCATCTGGCACTCCACCTCTGAAAGAATATCAGTAAAGACAATGCAGTTCTTTCTGTAAGAGTGCCACCATCTAGATGCAGCCATCACAGAAAGCCCCTTTCTTAAGTCAAGCTTTATTCAACTTTCAAAGCGCATGTGAAAAATAAATGTTATTTCCAGTGCAAGCCAAATAGTCATAACTATTACATCCTTAAATCACACTTTATGCCTGCTTGTATTAGTACAGGCAGTAGGAAAAACTGCATCTCAGACGCAGCCCCAGCAAGATTAAATATACTGCAAACAAGATTAAATATGTTGTATACCTCAGGGAGAAAAAGAAGTGTGGAGAGGTGGAAATCAATGCACAGCGGAGTTGCATGCTGATTAAATTTCCCCTGAGCTGGCTTTGATGGTCCAGGTGAGGACCTCTACTTTAGGTATCAAAACTACTTCTTTCTAGTGAAAACTTGAAGTCAACTCCACTAATAGGCGCTTCCAATCTAAAAAACCTTGAAGGCAGTTTTTCTGCTCAAGGGAAGCAAAACTGCTAATTTCATAAAATCTTAACCACATTAGGAAATAATTAGAAATTCATGTCATGAAGACAGACTTGTCCTGTAATGACTCACAGTAGTAATATGGAAGGAGGAGAGACAATGTGTTTGGTTATATAAGAAGCATTTGGGTTTTCATTTATGACCTTCTTACTAATGCAGGTCTTTGTAGGTAGAACCATCCAGAGAGTCACACTCCAGGATCTGCAAGTTCAGCTCAAATTCTGACCTTGGATGAACTGAGGAACTGAGGTCTTAACTGCCCCATGGGGTGACATAACTGGCCATAAGAGGTTTCTGTTCAGAAGAGTTTCCTTTCCAGCTTTCTAAAGGTGTTTCAGTTCATGCTGACATGTGACAGAACTGGCTGGGAAACCTTACATGAGGATTGTGTTTAGATCTTTTGCTACTCAGTAAAAAGTCAAGCATGTGCCTAGTCTAAAATACATGCATAACCATTGATGGAAATGGGACATAGGCACATGTTTCAGTGTTCATCTGAACAAAGCTATTTCTCTGAAAGGGTGTCAAGGTGACTGATCAAATCAGCATCCTAGATTTAAAACTGACAAATATTTTCCTCTATCCAGAAAGACTAATTTCTGTCATGATTAGAGCTGGGCAGCAAAATAATGATCTGCAATGTCAGTTTCTCTGATGTCTGGTGACTATCAGAATGGAAAAGACCTCAGCTGTTTGGAAAACCTTCTGGCAGAAGTTGAGCAAGCTCTGCCAGCTTCTTCCAAGCTCACCTCTTCCCTGCTCCCCTGCCTGCTTGGCTTCTTGTGCTTTGGTGGCTCTTCTGCTGACAATTCAGTTTCGCAAAGAATTTCTAACCAGACTGTACTCAGATCTGGATATGGTAAAGAAGTCTGTGGGAGAGAATTGCTGTGCTTCCTTCACACCATTTTCTTGTTATTTTTGAATATTCATATTCCTGTAATTGAATTTATGAGTAAGGATATACATTTGTAAAATAGGGTTAAATAAGAAGATATTTTTAATAACTATTTCACCTTATATTCAGTAACCTTGTGGATTATTGAAGCCAGCTCATATATGAATCCATGCCTGTATAGATGGAGCAGGAAGCAATGACAAGATAAGCTGCCTCAAAAAGATGAGAATCTATGGACATAACATAGAGTTTTTCTTCATTGAGTAAGGAAATTAAAATTGGTCATGCGTGACATCTGATTCTTTTTGTGGGGTCTTTCCAAGAGAGGCCATGCTTTCACTGCACAATGAAATCTGATTTCACAAAATATTCAGTTGTGCTAACTTGCAGGTTGCAAGCAAAGTGCTCCCTGTTTTGGGTACTTTTCCACGCTGCAGTAAATCTCTGGAGAACCACTGTCAATCTTAATTTTGTCTTTAACAGAATTGTTTGAAGTGTCCAGCAGAATAGTTGGTATGTTCTTCAAAAATCTGATGTACCTGGAATTTTTCCTTCATGGTACAACACAATCAGAATTTTTTGCAAGGTGTCAAAGAGAATCCAGCCTTCCTATAAAATAACCTTCTCCCTCTGGCAATATCTTTCCCATTTCTCTGTAGCGGTAATTGCAGTATTATTAAGAAATCAAGCATGTGAAAACAGTAATGCACTAATCAAAGTATTGAAAAGTAAATAGTGTGATAGTGTCCTGGGTTCAGAGTAGCAGTCATATTTCTCTCCTTCTTAGTAGCTGGTGCAGCGCTGTGTTTTTGACTTTTGGCCTGGGAACGGTGCTGATAGCACTGATATTTTTAGTTACTGCTCAAATGTTTGGTCTGGCCAAGGACTTTCTGAGCCTCATGCTCTGCCAGGGAGGAGGGGAAGCCGGGAGGAAGCAGAGACAGGACACCCGACCCAAACTGACCAAAGAGGTATTCCATACCACAGCACGTCATGCCCAGGGTGTAACTGAGAGTTACCCGGAAGGGCTAGTTCACTGCGTGGTTGGACGAGGTATCAGTCAGTCCTCAGTCAGGCGGGGTGGGGCAAGTTATCGGTTGGCTGGTGGTGAGGTGATGTATTCTCTTCCCTTGTTATTTCCTTTATCATTATTATCATTGGTGGTAGCAGTAGTGATTTGTGTTATACCTTAGTTACTAAACTGTTCTTATCTCAACCTGTGGGAGTTGTATTCTTTTGATTCTCCTTCCCACCCCCCAGGAGCAGGGGGAGGGCAAAAAGGAGGGGAGTGAGAGAGCAACTGCTTGATTTATGGCTGACTTTGTTTAAACTACGACAGGTAGTTGAAGAAGTCTGCAGTTCGTTCTATGGGTAAGAAATCTTTATTTAGTCTATGGCTTTGTGTTTGACTGTGGGCCAGTGTCTCACTGCCAAGTTGACATAGACATGTTTTTATATCTTGATTATTTTCCTGAGGCTTTTGTACTACCATCCTTATTTTCTTGATGAAAAGGGACAGATTATTCTTTTGTCTCCAGCATCAGTAGAATACATAGTCACCCTCTGTCCATACACAATCACAGAATCATAGAATCATAGAATAGTTAGGGTTGGAAAGGACCTTAAGATCATCTAGTTCCACCCCCCTGCCATGGGCAGGGACACCTCACACTAAACCATGTCACCCAAGGCCTCATCCAACCTGGTCTTGAACACTGCCAGGGATGGAGCATTCACAACCTCCCTGGGCAACCCATTCCAGTGCCTCACCACCCTAACAGGAAATAATTTCTTCCTTATATCCAATCTAAACTTCCCCTGTTTAAATTTGAACCCGTTACCCCTTGTCCTTTCACTACAGTACACAATACTCCCTTGCAATGCCAAACATAGGAATAATCTTCCAGAAATGGTGGAGGCACTTTAAGAATATTCTGAGCAGTACAAAAGAAGCATAAGTTTTGATCAGCTTATCCTTTCTTCACATTTATCATTTTATATGAAGACATTTGGCCTCTAAAACTTTATAGTTGTCTGTCAGTAGAAGGAAGTACCCTAGATCAGTGTTGCCACAGACATTTCATATTGTCAAAATAGAGCTTCAGTCTGGCACAGGCATACAGGCTAAAAAATCCAAAGTGGCTGTTGAGCAAGCAAAGGTAATAAAGCTATACTCCATTTTCAGATATTAGTGTGGGCAAAATTATTTTCCTACCCTGGATGGATTGTTCTTTATTTCAGCACTTTTAGTTCTTTTTCTGCTGCTTAGAAGACCTTGCTTAAATAGCAACTTGAAAAACACAAACCTGTGTGAAGAGACCATATTTCATTCTGGCTTCAAATCAGACTTCTTCTGCAGAAGTTTATTTTCATGTCTGAAATGGATTTCCTATTGTTTTTAACAAGGGTGGGAACTAGATCTAGCTACCTTAGTCCACCAGACTTGTATTTCATGGCCTGATTATTTTCCTTGGTGTTTTTAACATTTATTACTTTTTGAAATTCAATTACAAGGCAAGGAAACAGGAGTTGTATGATCTGGAGACCTGTAGTTAACTACAGAATTTATACTTATGTCATTCCTCTTTTGCTTTAGGGATCTGACGGCCAGATTTTGCAATAACATTCAGAGCTTCCTTTGCAGTTCCAATAGGACAGTGTTCTGCACCTAAGAGAACAGCTTCTGGAAAGACACAAAGCAGGCACCAGTTTATCTTCAAGATCTCAGCCTTTGTTTCAAACAACCCAAAGGACAAATAACATGAAAAAAACCCAACCCAACCCAAAGCAAAACCAGAAAAAAAAACCAACTATTTGGAGACTACAGCAATGAGCATTGTAATACCTTGCTTTTAAACATCCAAGTTCCCCGTGGATTGTGTGGCAGTTGTTACTCAGCATTGAGGACAAGTACCATTCCACACAGGAACTGTCTTCGTCAGCATCATCAGCAAGCAACCAGCAGATTGCCAGAAGGGACCTGCTGCGTGCTGTGTCAATCTTTCAACAGAAAATGTTTATTTTCATTGCTTTTTGTGGCAGTATCGTACTGCATTAGATATGTTCTTTGCATGCCCCTCTGGACAGGGAGGAGGAAGGTCTGCTTTGTGGATACCTGCACTTGTGTGTGAGCTAGGCATCAAGTTCATTGGATCATAGGGTGTTTCAGGTTAGAAGAGACAACTTGAAAATGCATGACATCGCACAACTAAACACACCATCTGAGCAAAGGGCAGAAACTTTCTTCTGGGAAACTTTCTTCTTGTGCCTTTATCCTATCCAAATTGATCCTAAGTGTGTGTTCCAGTCCCTATGTACTTGCACCATGTCACAGAAAAGACGTGTGTCTTAGTGGTACTTAAACGCATTGACTGCAAATGGGCTTGAAAGGGTGAAGAACCAGACATTACATTAAGGAAGCTGCCTTTAGGAGCTGCAGCCAAGCAGAACCATGCCATTGCCAGTGGTTTGTACCTTTTTGCAGCAAAGTACCATTAACACCTTCAGTGACTATTCTTTAATGGAAGCAAGGACAAATTGTGAACATAATTTTCACCCAATCATATCAAAAGATTGGAAGAGTCACAATCACAAGACTTTCTCTGACAACTTATCCATCTCTTTCTCTGTGGGAAAATAAACCCTGCTATTCTTTCCCGTGTCACTGCTTTGAGGTTTACCATATTATGTTTCAGAGTGGGTGGCAATTCTCTCCTGACCTCATCATAAGAAGGAAAAAGGAATGTCAGCATTGCAGATAAATAAATCTCCAGGCTTCCCTTGAATCCAAGGGAAGAACTGAAAGATGAGCTGTATGTTTATATGGCTTTCCTGCCCTGCATTCAACAGACAGATACTGGCACTCACACAAAGGGAGTCAGTGACAGGCCTGGAAGCAATCTAGCTGTGGTCAACTCTCAACTGCAATCTTCAGAGGAGTCCTGGCACCCAAACAAAATTGTTTAGCCATGCCCATACTCATCTTCAAGAATGCTTAAGGTCTGATTCAGCACCTAAATTCCACTGGTAACTGGGCCCTCAGAAGCTTTTGGTCCTGAAGTTAGAAGTTAAAAGCAAATTTTTAAAAAAGCCTCAAAAGGAGTAAATAGTACTATGGCCATCTCCTCATAACAATGCTAATGGAAGAGGGGTGCATAACACAGTAGCAGCTGCAAAGTAGTCTCTAGAAACATGTTTGGCAGATTCGCCTTTGCACAGTTGCGTGTAGAGAGAGGGACAGAAGGAAAAGCAGGCCATAGAGTAAATATTTTTTGTGGTG